GAAGAATATTNAGATATAAAATACCTGCCAATGTGCAATGTGTTCAACTCATCTGTGGAATAGAAAAAAAAAATATTTTAAAGATACCTTTGAATCACAAGGTAAATAAAATAAAATAAATTTGAAGAATATCAAAATATATCTTGTGTCATCTACTTCCATTAAAAAAAAGTACCTATTTGCAAACATCATTTATTAGAACTTCGTCATTTTAACTTTTTTTGGTTGGACTTTGTTGGTTCTTGATTTTCGTGTTCCATGATTATATACAATCTAAGTGAATGAAAATCATTTAGAAATATTTTATTCACAAAAATGCATATACAGATATATCTATGGTAAATACCTTCAAGATGAGCTCATTACATCATGAGCTTATTTAGTGGGGGAGGGTTAAGTTTCTTTTGCAAATAAGGAAATAAAATTTAGTAAAATTATACTTTTTGATGGAAAGCCTTAAAAACTAATTAGTGGTGATTTGTGAAAAGAGGAAAAAAAGAACAAGGTACATATTAAATTTATGACAGCCATATGCATCTGAGACGATCAAATCCTGATATAATCAAATCACACTTTATAGTTGTTCTGTTTTCATTGTCTGAATTTAGCATCTTATATCAATTAAAAGGTCCCTATTATGGAAGACAGTGCTAAACAGTGCTGAGCTCATACATGTGTTTGTGTACATATAACATATTTACATGATAAACGGAATCAGTGTAATGCATGGTTAAATAGGTTACAACTCCAGCCTAATTTGGCTGACTTGCATTGAATGTCTTGGAACAGTTAAACAGTGTTTTTTGCTTTTTCCAGATTAGATCATGTCTATGAGGAAAAACTAGAAATTTTGCACTACTCACTGGGCCAACTAAACTCCTTAAAAATCATATTTTTTTAAAAAATCTGATTCAGAAAGAAATATTGCAAGATCATTTTAAGTCCAAGTGTTAATTCTTTGGCATTGTCAAGTCTAATTTTTCTAGATCTCCTACCTGCCTGGCCATTTCTCCTTTCTGTACTCTCATTTGGTGATTTCATTAGCTTCTATCAGTTCTATTAAGATGTTTATGTAGATGACTCCTAGATCTGTGTGTCCATCCCTCTCTCCTGAATGCCAGTTGCACATTTTTGAATTGTCTTTTGGACATTTTGAACTGGATTGCATGGACATCTCAAATTCAACACATCCAAAATGTTATCTTTCCAACCAAACCCACTACTCTCATGAACTTTCTAGGAAGTCACCACCATTTTTTCAGTTACTTGGGTTTAAAACCATGTAGACATCTTCAATTATTTACTATTTCTCACCCCACTCTCTCTCTCTCCTTCAAATTCCTATCCAATAAATTGGCATGTCTTGTTAATCCCACTTCACCTCTCTTATTTGTCCTCTTCTCTCCATTCATACTACCACCTCTCTAGGTCATGTCTTCACCACCTCTCACCTAGACTATTACAATAAGCTCTTAATTTGCAGCTATGTAAAGATGGATTGTGATAGAAAGAAACTGGATACAAGGAGACCAAAGTGATTTTCCTCAAGTAGAATCTATGCATGTTACCTCCTTCCTCAGTAAATTCCATTGGTTCCCTATTACTTCTAAGAGTAAATATAAAATCCTTTGTTTGGCATTTAAAGCTCTTCACAATCTAGTCCCTTCCTTTATCTCAAGCTTTCTCATGTATTACTCCTCTTCACACAGTCTATGGCCCAGCTTGTTAAGTCATTTCAGTCATGTCTGGCTCTTTGTGACCCCATTTGGAGTTTTCTTGGCAAAGATACTGGGGTAGTTTGCTGTTTCCTTCACCAGTTCATTTTACAGATGAGGAAACTGAGGCAAACAGGGTTAAGTGACTTGTCCAGGATCATCCAACCAGCGTCTGAAAGCAGATTTGAACTCAGGGAGATGAGTCTTCCTGATTCCCAGCCTCTGTACTCTATCCACTGTACCACCTAGCTGCCTATGATCCAACTATATAGACCTGTTTCCTGTTCTTCACATACAATGCTCCATCTCCTGTCCAAACCTTAGCACCAGCTGTCTTCCATCCCTAAAATGTCCTACCTCTTTATTTCTACATTTTAGAATACCTGGTTTCCTTCAAGACTCAGGTCAAACACCATCTTCCTAGTCCCTTCCTCCCTCTCCCAGATGCTAGTGCCTTCCCTGCCAAGGTTAACATTTCTCATTTTATTTGTATACACATATATGCATGTCTCATCCATTAAAATATTAGTTCCTTGATTTCAGAAACAATTTTTGCTTTTCCTTTGTATCCCCATGCCTGAGATAGATTATGTACTTAATAAATACTTCTTTATTTGGATACACGAGAAGTACTGTCATCAAAGCTTCTTACCACCCTCCTCCAAAAGGTGACATCAGCCAGATCATATGTAGGACAAATTTAACATCAAATGTCTTACCAGATCTTTTTTTTATGTGAATGATATGTCCTTTGATGACAGCATCAAATGAGATTTTACTTCTCTCAGTCCCAGGGACATTGGTTTGTATCCGCGTAGTCATCTCTTTCAAAGCCTCCCAAACATTGTTGGAAAGACAAGTAGTGGGGAACATCTGCACCTAACAATTTGGAACTGGAAAAGCATCATTAAGTTATCTCAACCCATATTCCTTAGACACATACTGTGTCAAGCAACATGGAGAGAATGAGGACTCTACGGTGTGTCTTTATTGGATAGTATGCTCTGGTGTTCCATCTCACTTAAAGTGATCCAGGGACAATATTAAAGGAATATAGATGAACAATTCAAGTCACATCAACAAGCATTTATAAGTGTTCATGGCTGCAATGTGCCAGGCATAGTCCTAAATGCTGAATAGAGAGAATATCAAAGGACTGTGCCTGCCGTCAAGGAGATCTTATTTTAATGAGGGAGACAACATGTAAATAACTGTATATGAAAGATACATACAAGGTAAATTGGAGATCATATGAGAGGAAAGGCAGTAGCATTAAGGGAGACTGGGAAAGACCTCTTGCAGAAGGTATGTTCATTTAACTGGAACTTAAATGAAGTAAAAGAAGTCAGGAGGCGGAGATGAGAAAGGAGAACATTCAAGACATGGGAGATGTTGAGTAAAAATTCATGGAGTCAGGAGATGACTTTCTTTGAGAAATAG